CCCAGCTGTCAGCCACCGCCTTCCCGGGGACCCTCCGCGCCCTGCCCGCCCCGGGCACCGCTGCTTCTCGGGGGGACTCAGGGCTGAGGCTCAGTGCCTCCTTGCCTCCCTTCCCCGTCACCTCCGGGGTCCCCTCCTGGGCTCCCCGTGGCCTCTCGGTAGAGTCACTTCGTTAGCGTCGCTTCGTTAGCGATGGGCACGACCCCACCTAGATAGACATCCATAATGCTGCACGTAAGCGTGGACCGGGCTGAGGCCTGCCAAGCTCACCGCACCGATGACCACAGTCGGATGCAAAATCTGTACCCCGCTCCGGGCGTGGGGAGCTCCTGCTCTCTGTGGGAACCAGATGTGGTTTTGGGGTAAGGAGCATCCCACCCCTGGGGCGAGCCTTCCTCGCCAGCCCCGTGAGAGGAAGGCTGTTGAGCAGAGTGGGGTAAGGGAGGTGACAGGCTGGGCTGTGCCCGCCGGCGTTTCACACGGGGGCGGTGGGAAGAGGAGAGCCTGTCACCTGCTTGCTTTTGCAACACGTATAGATTTGGGAGCTGCGTATGTGCTCCAGCCTGGGAGCGGTTTTGCTTTGTGTTTTGGCCTGGAGCCCACGCCTTGTGAGGCGGGTTCCGTTTTTGGAGGAGAGGAGACCTTGTGCTTTCCGGGAGGCTGAGAGCCCTTCGCACCATCTCTTGGAGGTGAGAGGAAGCAGAGCTCCTGGACCTGTGGTCCTGAGGAGCTTTTGGGAGCGAGAAGAAGGGGAGGCACGGTGATGGCAGAGGCTGGCGATGGAAGGAGCACGCCTGACCATCCCCTCCCTGCCTTCAGACACTGAGCTTTCTCAGCCTGCCGCAGCCTGTTCTCTTCCACTTCTCCATCCCCATGCCTCTGTACCACCCAGGAGCCGTTCTTTCGTTCCCACTACCCCATCCCCTTTCCTTCTTTGGTGTTTACATTCTTCAGATACTTGCAGGCTGTTATCACCTCCCCTGTAGCCCTTCTTCAGCCAGAGCAGGCAGCTGCCTCTCCTTAACCTGCTGTTGTAAGCCAGTTCTTCCAGACCTCCGCTATATTCCCCCTCCGGTGCCTCTACCTGGTCAGCTGTGGGGCTGAACATTTAACTCTGATGGGTACGGATGGAACCAGGCAAAATTACTGCTGCCACCTCCGGAGCTGAAGCCTCGCCATCCGCAGCCCCGAGTCGTGCTGCAAGGCCGTGCCTTTTGCCAGGGGTGCATCCTGCCGCATCCTTGCATCTCCGGCACCCGGATCTCTCCCAGCGGTTTGGCTTTCCTGGACGTTTCCTCCTCCCGCTGCTGGGCTGTTTCCTCTGGATGGGGGGTTTGGGTTGAACTCTGCTTTCTTCTTTGCCGGTATCCTGAGCTCTTTATGCCGGATAAGGAAGCTGGATTTGGTTGTGGGGAGGGGGAGAAAAGTAGCTTTAAGCACTTTGTGCATCAACTGATGCCTTGAGCTACAGTGCCAGCCCTGCTATGACAAGAAACAATTCAAAGCCAATTCCAGAGATGAGGCTCCACGTCTGGGGGTGGCAGGGAAAAGGGCGCTGGCAGGGAAAACAGGAGCCCTGTGCAATTCACTCGCTTGGGAGAAGCCCTCCAGGGGAATTTTCTGGTCCCAGCACTGTGTCAGGGCCAGTGGTTCTGGCAGGACTTCATGCCAGTTTTCCCAGCAGCGTACATCCTGTTAATATTCATTATTTTGGCACCTAATGCTTAGGGATTGTAAATCCTCAATAAGATGAGACCCAGCTGATCCGTACAACAGCCCCAGCCTGGAGTCCTTTTGCTCCCTCTCTCCCTATATTGTTTTTCCACCTCCTCGGAGCCTGCCCAGCTCTCTTCTGCCGAGCACGCGTGCATCCCGGGTTGGGGGAAGATTGCACTTTGACGTTTCGCCTCCTTTCCTTCCCTCCCGCCGCTCCCAGTTCAGAGCCGGAGCTGAAGTCACTGGATTGGAAGGGATAACGGGAAAAAGGGTGGAGCTCCTGCCAAGGGGAAGAAATTAATTTTCAGGGCACTTTTTTTCAGGGCAGCAACGGAGCGTCTGGATCTGTAAGGACAGGGATGCATCTGTCCCCCTCATCTCCCAGCCTCCAGCAGCACCCATCACCTGGGCAGGAGGAGAGGCATGGGAGCACCCCGTGCCATTTGGCTCTGGTTTTTCTCCCTTCCCGGGTGGCTCAGGGACACCATCAGAGGATTCTGACTGGGCCTGAAGCTGTTGTAGCAGCTGGTGACCCTCCCCGTGGCAGGCCTTCCCGCGCCTGCTCAAACCAATAGCTGGAACGCCAGGGTGGGCTGGCACACTGCGTAACCTTGGGTGTAACCCAAAAACGGCAGCTAAGGGAGGTGGAAAGCAGGGGAAGGCTCAGCCCGGCTGGGAGGCCAGGGAGCTGGGTTTGTGGGGCAGCCGCGACCGGTTGCCGGGATCAATTTTGGGGACATGGAATGGCTGTCATCACATGTCAAGCCATCCCTTCTCACCAGCTCAGTCTTGGGTGGTGGTTGTGGCACGTAGGGATGGCTGGTGGCTTCCCCAGAGCTGGCAGGTCTGGTGCAGATCGCTGGGACATCCAGCTCTGGCACTGTCACCTCTCCAGCATTGTCCCTGCCTGGTCTGGCTGCAGAAGAAGGAGCAGATTGGCAAACTCTGCCTTCCCGGGGAGAAGAGGCATTGGGATGAATTATTTGGTGGTGCAACTTATCTGGAGCCAGAAGAGCTGGGAGGAGGGATCGGCTTGAGCCTGTTTGGCTGACAGCAAAGCCAGGGAGAGTGATTCCCCTGAGTCAGCTCTCCGGTGCTCCGCCTTGGGAAGGAGATAAACTGGTTGGGATGCCTCACCAGGGGCGTGAGGTTAGCAGGAGGCAGGGAGCAGGGGGAAACTTCTTTCTAGCACAGGGTGATCTGGGTGAAACTCTGTTCATCTTCGGTAGCTGTGGCCGAGGCTGGGCAGAGGGCAGGCTCTGCAGTGGGAGGGAGCAGAAAGAGCTGGGTAAGAGAGGAACCCCCAGCATCTCGGAGAGGATTGAGTCTTGGAGAGGGTCAAGCCTTGGAGAGGATCAAGCACTGGTTGTGACTCTGATTTCATCTCTACCCTGGGGCACATTGTTTAAAGGCAACATGTTTTCACAGGTGTTGAATTACCTCCTATATGTTTGCGGTGAGGACTGTTTCGCAGAGAGCTAGTCGTTTCTTTAATAAATGATTGGTGGTGGTTACCAGAGGGATGGAGCTTTGGGGCACAGACGGCCAGGGGTTGGACAAGGCGTTCTTTGCTACTGTGCCCCCGTCTCCGAGGCAAGCCCTGTCCATGGCGGTGGAGCACACCCTTCTACCCACTCTCCTTGTCCCTGCCTCCCCCTCTCTGAATAAACATCTCCAAGGCACCTTGGGGAAACCTCCCTGCTGCATATTTTCCTTTAATTTTTTTTTTTAAACCTCTTTCCTTATCTCCTGCTTCCTCTTACAGGAACAACTGCCTGCTGCAGAGAGCTAAATCCAGTTCTCCTTTGTCACCGAGTCCTACACCCCATGAGTTTCTTAAAAGCGATGCCAGGCTATTCCCACTGTTGTTCTGCCGCTGGGGACTCACCTTCCACCCCCTGGCATGAAAAGCCCTTTTGTGGATCACTCCAAGACAGTAACCCTCTGTTTTGTCCTTTCCTCTCCAGCCGGATCTCCTCAATTTCAAGAAGGGATGGATGTCCATCCTGGATGAGCCAGGAGAGGTAAGCCCGAGGTGGGGGGTCTGCCTCTTCCCCCAGCCCCTGCTGCTAGAGATCGCCTGGTGAGCAGCCAATTTCCTTCCCCCTCGCTCGCTGAGGTCGCTCCTGCTGGGAACGGCAGCGGGAAACCCTTGGTGGAGGTGCCTTGCTCTGTGTGCGGGCACGGAGGTTCACCCAGCACCCATCTCCCAGCCGAGGGGTGCGAGGGGGAGCTAGAAGGGACATGGAGGAGGGGGAAGAGAAGGCCGAGAGGTCACGGCGCAGAGCGTCCCTCCCTGTTCCTACGCTTCCCCCAGTAACTGCCTGTCCATTTCCCTCCTGTCTTTTCCCTTCCCTTCCCCTGCCTGATCCGCCTGCAGTGGAAGAAACATTGGTTTGTGCTGACCGACTCGAGCCTGAGGTATTACCGGGACTCGAACGCGGAGGAGGTAAGCACGACCAGCCTTCCTCCAACCCTCTCTTCCTTCCCGGCCATGGGGGGAAAGAAGCACAGCCCTGGCCTAACCAGGAGAAGCGACAGCATCATGTCCTCCAGAAAGGCACTGGAGGTGGCACACTGCTCTTTGCCAAGGGGTGATGAAGAGGATGGGTGTCTGAAGGGTGGTGAAACCTGGGGGGGCTGTCAGTGGTGGGGAGGGGAGGAGAAGGGCTGGTCCTGTGGTTGAGCATCTTTGACACTCACCATCCACGTTGCTGGCTGTTCCTCGGGTTAAAAGAGGCCACGCTGTGCTGGGGAGCTGAGGCTGGCTCCCGGAGAGCTGTGGGGTGAAGGCAGAGACACAACCTGTGCTTTAATTAGGGTACCAGCAGGTGATGGGGGGCTTTTTCAAAGCTGGGTTTGCACTAATGCCCTAGCGGGTGGCTGTACTTGCAGGCTGATGACCTCGACGGAGAAATCAACCTCCGCTCCTGCACGGACGTGACGGAATTTGCGGTGCAGCGCAACTACGGCTTTCAGCTCCACGTGAGTGTCCGGCACCGTGTGGACACGGAGCAGCGGCACCAAGGGACACCGGGTGCGAATGCGTGCTCCTTCCTCGTGCCGAGAGGCAAGCCGTGCAAACCTTTTGCTGGGATGGTGGCTCGGCAGGGCTGGTTGGTGACATGTGGGTGGCAGTGCTCAGGGACACGAGTGCTGCCTGCCTGCAAAGGAAGGAGGAGGAGGAGGCTTTTTCAGGGCTGGCCAAAGGCTGTGCTGGAGGCGGCCCAGGAGCCAAGCTAAACGCCGGGAGTGTTTACTTGACCCATGGGCCAAGGCAGCTTCTCTAGAGCCGCGGCGAGGGAGCGGTGAGCACTGCAGATCTCGGTGTAGCCTGCCTGACCGTGCTCTGAGTAACAACCTGTACCCTGGATTTGGCCCCAGTACAATCCTATCCCTGGCTACTCGCTGTAGTAGCAAGTGGTGGCTGCTAAGGCAGCACAAAACTGCAGTATTTCTGTGGGTGTGCAGGGCTGGGCACTTCACGGTGTGGGTTTCCTTGTACTTCACGGTGTGAGTTTCCTTGTGGCCTCCTGCTGTACCGCAGCGCTGGTGCTCAGCTCCCAGCACCTGAATGGCTGGATTGCACTGACTCATGTTTGGCCAAATGTTCTGGCAAAGTTTCTTTTGCCTTTGCTTGGAGATGGTCTCATGGAGGATGTATAACGGGATTCAATGCAAAGAGAGAGTCTCTGCTCCCACCCCTCCGCCTGGCCCCAAGAGTCTTTGAGGCAGTGGGTGGCCTCTCCAACACTGTCCACCACCCATGCAGGCGGGTGCCTGGGGGTCTCGGGCAGTGAGTGGGAGCTGCCTGCACCTCTCACGGGGTCTCCATCACCTTCTTGTTACAGACGAAAGATGCCGTCTTCACCTTGTCGGCGATGACCTCAGGCATCCGACGCAACTGGATTGAGGCCTTGAGGAAGAACGTGCGCCCGGTCAGTGCTCCGGACATCACCAAGTAAGAGCTGCCCTGCACCGCTTCTCCTCTTCCCCCTCTTGCTGCCTCTTTCCCCTGACAAGCAGAGACCGGGAAGGCCGCTCTAGAAATCGCACCGCTCCCAGATCCTCTCTGCCCTCCGCTCCTCCTGAACGTGGCCTGGATACACCAGCTGGTGGCAGGGGTTGAAAGCCTGATGGCTCCTGCTCTTGCATCTGCTTTTTGCCCCACCACATCAGTTTGGCCCGGTTTCTCCACCAGCATGGCTGGAACTGGGCTAAATCCTCCCTGCCCCATGGAGGGACCCATTTCCCCGAGGGATGGGATGCTACAGGCCCAGCTCTACACTCAGGATGGGGTTTTGTAAGGCTGAGCTCAGCAAGGGCTGATCCTTGGGCAGTTGGTGGTGCCTCCACCGGCATCCTTTCCCACACAATGCCTCTTCTTCACCGGCTGTCGCTCTGGTTTCAGGCTCTCGGATTGCGATAAGGAGAACTCCTTCCGTAACTGTGTCCCTCAGAAGGGCTCGCTCCGGACGGAGGAGCAGCAGCGGCCAAGCTCAGGCTCCGAGGGGAACTCAAAAGGTGGTCACTGGAAGGCAGACGGGCAGCGCCATGCCTTTGACTACGTGGAGCTGTCTCCCTTGCCGCAGGACCCTGGGAATCAGGGGTCCCCACAAAGGACAAGAGGGAGCTTGAGGATCTCCAACCGAACTCCCAAGCACGAGGAGCTGGAGCGGGATCTGGCCGTCCGTTCGGAGGAGAGGCGGAAATGGTTTGAGACCCCCGACGGCAGGGTCCCAAACAGCGATGGCCCAGCAGGAGACTCTTCCCGCAAGGTGGGGGAGCAGGACCTCCCCGCTCCCCCGCTTTCAGAGGACCAGCGGATTCGACTGAATGAGGAGATAGAGAAGAAGTGGCTGGAGCTGGAACGCCTGCCCTTGAAGGACTCGCGGCGGGTGCCCTTGACAACACTGCTGAATCAGAGCAAGGGAGGCCACGGAGACACCAACGAGGCACTGAAAAAGGAGGTAAGAGCATCCCTCCTGAGATTCTGGTGGCCTCTTAGTGTGGTCCCTGGCAGCAGGAGGCTCTGCAGAAGAGCAAGGTAGAGGTGCAGGGAGGTGTTTGTTCTTTGTTCTTTCCATTTACCACCACTCAAGTGCATGGGAGCTTTTGCAGCTGGGTAACGCAAGGCCAGAGACCTGCTCTCGCATGCCTGGAGAGGTTCCCCGAGCCACATGTTGGTCCAGGATAAGTTAGCTGGTGGCACTGCTCGCATGAAGTCTGTGTTTCCCACGAGTACATCCGCAGCCTCTCTTCTCTGGCCGTTCCCAAGCCTGCAAGCATTTCACCTGCGGGCCTTTGAAAGGAGCCGTGCACTTGTCTGTCATCCCGGCTACGCGTACATCCGCAGCCTCTCTTCTCTGGCCGTTTCCAAGCCTGCAAGCGTTTCACCTGCGGGCCTTTGAAAGGAGCCATGCACTTGTCTGTCATCCTGGCTACGCATGCAGTGGTGGTTTCCTCCACGGATCCACCTCTGGAAGTTGGGATGTCTCCTCCCCTCTTTGCTACCAGGCTGGGGCTGGCTTTGCCGGTTTGGTCCCTCGGCAGGCTGCCATCCCTATGGGAAGCAGATGTCTCCATTGGCTGTGCGTGGTCCTTCCCATCCCTAAGCCCAGGGTTCAGATGTGGCACGCTGATCAGACCACAGCACTTTTCCACCCCTGGCACAGCATCTCTCTCCCCTCCCTGGCACAGGTCCAGTCACTGCGGGCACAGCTGGAGTCCTGCCGGGCGCGAAACGAGAGCCTTCGCGAAGCGGCCAAATCCCAGGGAGATGGCCATGTGCCCCGGGGTTACATCTCACAGGTGAGCAGGGTGCCGGACAAGGGACTCTCCCAGTCCCAAACTGGGAAATGCTGGGACTCAACTCATTGTTGAGCAGGTATTGCTAATCATTGGGTTGCCATGGTGACCTTAACTGGGCCCACTTGTAATCAATGTTAATTACATAAAGGCTGGTGCGTGTTCCCTGGCCTTAAAGGGGCCAGAGTATAAATGGGGAGGAGGAGAAGAGTTAGGGGAGAGGTGCAGGATCTGTGCCCCGCTTTGTGTGTGGGCATGATGCTTGGCTGGGGGGCTGAGCTGTCCGCCCAGCTCTGGAGTGGGTCAGCAGCTTTCTGCCGAGCTGCCTGCGTGTTCCCCAGTGGTTTGTATCTCACCGCATGTGGTTCCTGCTGTCAGGGGCTCCCAAATCCCTTGTTAAAAGCAGTCCGTCAGGCCCTGGGGAGCTCCCGTCCCTGCCAGAGCCACCCAAGCCCTGAAGGTCACTTTGACAGCGCTGCCTGTTTGTTTGCTAGGACGGCACGTGGGAAAGCCTGCGGAGTTTGCTCGTGCTTCAGCCTCTCACTTCTCTTTGTTTATTTTCCTCCCCATGGACTCATCCAAAGCAAGCAGGGTCACATCTCGCAGGGATTTCCTGGGGGGAGGCTGCCGTTCCACCACGCTGTGGGGATTTCAGGATGTGCCCTACATATTGAAAGATAGCAGAGATGAAGGAAATTGGGGCTGGTGAAGCCTGTTGCTACAGACTGGCTGTACCCAGCCCAGATAAAGAAACCCACAAGTCCCATGGAGCCCAGCCCAGCCACTTACTAGTCACTCTGTCATCTTCATTTAATATTTACAGCTCACGGGCCTCCTTATCATCAAAAAACGCAAAAGGAGTGGGGAGGAATGGTGCCTTATCCTCCTAATAACTTGGCCAGCATTTCACACCTGAGGCCAAACTTGGCCTTTCTCCAAAGCGCTCGTTCTCTCTCAGTCTGCCAATGTTCACAGCCAGTCGGCGGACAGATCACCAAATGGATCCCTTGCCTTTTTTTCCTCCTTTGGTCGATCTGTGAAGCTCCCCAGCTTCCATCATCTCAGTAGGGAGGAGTAGCCAGCAAGGACTTGCGTTCCCACAACGTGTTGCAGTGCCCTTTGTGTCAGCCTTTGCCGTGGTACTGGGGCAAGGAGTGGGATGGCAAGGGGCTGTCGGGGGATGTTCGTGGCTTCCTGGCTCTCTGCTGATGTCTTAGAGGCCCTGGTTTTTTTAAATAATACTCTGGCATGGTTTGGTGGTGAACAAATCCTTCCTGAGGGGCTTAGGGTGGTGCTGCCAGCGTCCGGAGGGAGAGCGGAGGCGTAGCTCGGAGGTGGGAACCGTTTTGCTTTGCTATAGCAGCAGTTAACTGCAGTTCTCAGCATTGAAAGAGCCATCCCCTTGGTCTCGGAGCCACCAGAAAGGAGGGCAAGCTGTGTGAGGAGGATCCCTAACCGTTAGGCTTTGGGGAGGGCTCTTTGGCAGCCTCCGTCGGGCCGCAGGGCAGTGCAGGGTGTCACTTTCCAGAAGAAGAGGCTCAGTTTTCATTGATTCTGGGGATGCTGCTTCATTTTAAAGGCAGATACCGAGATGCTGTTGGTCTCCTCCAGCCAGGCAGTGCAGGCTGATGGAGGGTCTGGACTGGAGTGTCCGGCACGTTATTCTCAGCTCTTGGCCCAAAAGGGACGTTCCTGTCTTGCTGCTTCGGTTTTAAGAAGAGCAAGAGGAACTTTTCTTCCTCTGCAAAGCACGAGGGGATCGCAAGATACGTGGCCCTGTCAAATGGTTGTGTTCAGTGATAAAAGTGCCACCTCACTTTCAGAAGGAAAAGACCCTCCTGGGAATTGATCTCACTTCTCTCAAAATGGCCCTGGACTCAGGTGAGGTTTGCAAAGGCAAACCTCAGCCCAGCCAGGTGCCTGTCTTGGCCCGATCCCTTCCTCCTGCCCTCCTCATCCCTCCTTTCCCTGGCACGGCAGGAGGCCTGCGAGCGCAGCCTGGCTGAGATGGAGTCATCCCACCAGCAAGTGATGGAAGAGCTCCAGAGGCATCACCAGCGGGAGCTGGAGCGGCTGCGGCAGGAGAAGGAGCGGCTCCTGGCAGAGGAGGCGGCTGCGACGGCAGCAGGTAGGAGCAAACACCAAGCCGTGACCCTGCTCAGATGGGTCCCTCCTGCCTCTCCCAAATATCTTGCCAGAAACCAGTCATCCCAGTCATCTGAAACCACACTGCTGACCCTACTGGTGTGAGGCTGATGCTCCTTGGAGCATGAGCTTGGTGTTTCTCGGACTTGTGCTACGGGGGCTGTTTGGGCTGGGGAGCAGGGCAGGATGGTAAAGATACTGTGGGAAATGGGGTCTTGCCTCTGTGGATGGGTGGGAAGGGGCCAGCACCTTCTTGTAGGTGGGCAGAGGTGGCAGGGAGCTCCCACACTGCCCTGTGTTAGTCTCCTTGGCAGCATTTGGTGCTTCGGGATGATCCTGGGGTGTTGAGAAGGTAGGGGATGACCTGAGGGCAGAAGGGAAAGAAGGGGAATCTGCAAGGACAGGTCTGGGAGCCTGCAGTGGGCAGAGCTCAGCCAGTTCCCTGGCGTGGTTTCCCCAGATATGCCAGAGCTGGCCCAGCCTGATCCCCCATCTCCTGTTGTCCCCCTCCGCAGCCATTGAGGCACTGAAGAAAGCTCACCGGGAGGAGATGAATAAGGAGCTGGGCAGGACACGAAGCTTCCAGCAATGCAGTTCAATCTCAGATGCCCTCCAGAAGCAGCACCAGTAAGAAAACACCTCTCCCACTCCCCTTGCCTGATGCTACCACCCTGTGCCAGTGTCACCCTGCACCCCATCTGTGGCCATAGCTCCCAGCCATCCTTCTTGCCACTTTCCCAGCTCCCTCCTTGGGGGTGATGGGTGCCCAGGGGTGACTGCCAGGGCTACTGGAGCTGTAGGGCAGGGAGCTTTATCCTCTGCTTGGCTATTTTCCCTGTAGCACCTCTGTTTTCCCTGCAGCACCTCCATTTTCCCTATAGCTTCTTCCTTCTGTTTTCTTTACGGAAAGCTCCTCCATTTCTCCTGCGTGTCTTGAAGCTCCTAGAAGCACCATACTTGTGTGCGGGAGAGTGGGAATTGAATCTTTGATCCACAGGGAAAATTATTTTGTGCCAATGAGTGTTGTGGGCAGAGGCTGCCCGTGGCAGGAGGGAAGGCGATGCCGTTGGCCAGGGGCCGGTACGGGTTGCAGGGCAGCGATGAGCCGGCACTTCTTTGGCAGGTTGGATGTGGATTCCCTGAAGCGGGAGCTGCAGGTGCTTTCTGAGCAGTATTCCCAAAAGTGCCTGGAAATCGGGGAGCTCACCCAGAAGGCAGAGGAGCGGGAGCAGACGCTGCAGCACTGTCAGCAGGAGGGGAAGGAGCTCCTCCGCAAAAACCAGGCAAGAGAAACGGGCTTTCCCTGCCACCAGAGACCATGGAGCACATTCCTCCCTTGCACAGCACAGCCCCTCTGTTAAAACCCCCCTATTTGTTCATATTTCTTCCCTTCCAAGATTTTATCATCAAAAGGAAAAAAAATTAAGAGTTAGAGGCTGTAGCTGGGCTTGTCTTAACTACGGTGTTAAATATGGTGAGTGTATTCTGCTGGTTGCTGGTGCCACCGTCCCCTGTGGGCAGGGGGTTACAAGGAGGTCTCTAAGCTGGAATAGGACTGGCATGAAGACGGAGGGGTCAGAGCAGTAGAGGCCTGTGCCATGGCTACTCTGACGCCTTTTGGTTTTGCCTGCAGGAGCTGCAGACCCGCCTCTCAGATGAGATCGGGAAGCTGCGAAGCTTTATTTCATCACGGGGCTCTGGAGACCACTCTCCGCACAACAACGAGCGGAGCTCCTGCGAGCTGGAGGTACGGAGGTCCCCTCGGGCTGCCCCTCTGCCTCCATCCCCACCCCATGCCGGGGGTCTCCTCCTCACGGCAGTTTTGGCTTGGAGTGGGTGGGAGGGGGATGCCTGATGGAGCAACGGGGCCAGTGCAGGAAGGAGGTACGCAAGCTTCCCCTCCGCTGCTCTCCCGGGGCACTTGGGCTGTTTCCTGCCCCAGCCCTCCTGGCCCTTCCTTCCTTTTCCATCGCCGCGCTTGCGCCAGGACCCACCGGCCTTTCCGAGGCGGTGGCTCTTGAGTCACCTCTGTCCCCGGCTCAGGTGCTGCTGCGGGTGAAGGAGAATGAGCTCCAGTACCTAAAGAAAGAGGTGCAGTGCCTCCGGGAGGAGCTGCAGATGATGCAAAAGGTCGGTGTTTTCTTGGAGCTATTGGGAAAGCAGCAGGAGAGGGGATGGAGAGGAGCACCGGGGCTGCATGTCAGCAGGGTTCGGCTGGGTTTGATGGGATGCTCAGACCAAACCCTCTTGTCACCTGTGCTCCTTGTCCCTCCTTGTTCCCGAGCACATAGCAGCCACGTGCTCCAAACAGCACGGGCTGGTGTAGACTCACCTTGTAGAAGGGAAACGTCACAGAGACTTTGCTGCTGATTTCCTCAGATATATGTACGTATAAGCATGGACAAGCCAGGAGCCCTTCTTTCCCAGGTGGTAAGCCCAGATGAAGCCTGCCCAGCACTCTGCTTCCCCAG